CCCCGCCCCACCCCCACCCCAGCCCGGTTAATAATTAGGAGTGCCATACATGGCATGACAATATCTCAGGAGACTCATGAACCATCTCAAAGACTTTTAAACACTGAAGTGTGACATACACAAAAGACGATGGTGTTCCACTCAACTCCTCACCTTCGAATAAGCACTCCCCTGTTTATGATATTTTATTTAGGTGATGAGGGCTGTTCATGGACCAAGACCCTCTGGGCAGAGAATGCCAGTGTCTGGGCTACGAGGATACGTCTGAAGAGGCAGGGTGAGAACTCTGGCTGGACCATCCCCTTGGTCCCGCTGCCCAGCCCACGGAGAGGGGCTTGGCTAGAGGACAGTCAGAGTGGGATGCCCTAAAACATGAGGTCGAAAGCAAGGCCCTCTTGTTCAAGTCTAAAGCTTGCCCTGTGCTGGGGAAAGGCAGTGGCCCTCAAATGGGCTCAGCATAGGGAACCCAAGGTTAGGACCGCGTTAAAAAGTAAGTAGCAGAGTCCTAGCCCCCATCCTGCCTCTAAATGTTTGGATGACCTTAACCTCACTAGGCCTCAGTTTCCCAGTGACTAGAAGTTAAATAAGATTATTTCTAGGGGTGGCCGGGTGGCTCAGTTGGTTAGAGTACAACCTCTGAGCAACAGGGTTGCCGGTTCGACTCCCGCATGGGATGGTGGGCTGTGCCCTGCCCCCACCTGTGGCTAGATTGAAAATGGCGACTGGACTTGGAGCTGAGCCCTCCACCACTAAGGCTGAAGGACAACAACTTGACTTGGAGCTGATGGGTCCTGGGAAAAACACACTATTGCCCAATAAAAAATTCAAAAAAAAAGATTATCTCTAAAGCGCACTTCAAGTCCAGGCTCCTGCGAATCTACAAACCAGGGCTCCAGGGGGCCTTCCTGCAAAATTTAAAAAAAAAAAAAAATGAACGGAGCACGCGGAGCAGCAAATACCTAAAACTGCTGGGCGGAGCAGCGTGTGCGTGTCACTTCCCTGTGCAGAAGAAAAGGGTATAAAGGGGGACAGACGGGGTTTCTCAGGAAGGAGAGCCCGCAGGGCCAGAGAGCCTGTGGCTGAGACAGGTGAGTGATAAACACAAGCCAGGAGGCTCCTCCGGCAGCCACGCGGGCCTTGCCTACACTGTGTAAGTGAAAATGTATTTCCTGATTGAGCACAGGAAGGAGGGTCCCCTGGGAAACCCTCTCTCTCTCTCTCTCTCTCTCTCTCTCTCTCTCTCTCTCTTTCTCATCTCACACACGGTGCAATTAGTGGATCACTTGAGCAAAGGAAGTGTGAAGGTGCCGTCACACCGCTCGGCCCCAGGGGCTCTGGTAAGGCTGCAGGAGGGTGGAGGAGACTGCTTCCTCTCCTCACCTGTCCCCATCCCCTTCCAGTTTTCGGAGCTCAAATCAAAGGGTCTTTTCACCTAGAAACCTATACTGTGCAAGGTGGCAGCTGCCGAAAACAGTCCAAACGGAAAGATGCAGGATTGACTCTGATCGGAGCCCTCGTCTTCCTCGGGATGGAAAAGTCCTTGGTGGGGCCCAGCACAGAAACAGCACAATGTGAAGAGGGGTCGTTTTTCTTTAATTTCAGCAACGATGAAATACCCACTCGCCTTTCCCAACATATCATGCCCTGTGAAACAATGGCGCCAGAGGTGTCCCACCCACGTTTGGTGACTCAGGATCCTGTTGACTTGTAGCTGTCACTTTGACCTCTGTCCCGCTACCTCCAAAGGACAAGGACGCAAGAAACATGGACAGGAACGCAAACACAGGTGTGTGTTTGTTAGGCCCAGCCCTGTACTTAGTTGAAACACTGGGTCCCTCACACGATGTGACGGCAGGAAAGGGTCCAGAACTCTCCCCTTACCACACGCCCCAAACACCAACTTGTCATGACTGGCTTCGGGCAGGAGGCTGCCAAGGTTTACGCCACAGTCACTCTGGCTGGTGCTGGAGCAGAAGGAGAAAAAGGGGAGGAGGCGGGAGGGACGCAGGCCCACTTTCCCTGTGGCATCAAGCGCAGCTCTGCTTGGATTTCTTGCCCTCTTGAGCCGGAACACATTAAAAGCTGCTAGACTTAGAATTGATAACCCCAGGAGCTCCATGAAAAGATTATCTGTGGGAAGGTCACAGATGAACCAACTATCGGCCATTACCACCATAAAAGGTGTGTCTACCGGGAGAAGTGGGCGGACACACAGGGTCCCTGGGAGGGGCCACAGCTGAGGCCCCTGACAGTCAGGGGACAGAGCAAAGACCAGTATCATGAAGTACATTTTTCTGTCAGTGGAGATCCCAGTAGGTTGCGAGGCTGGGATAAGGTTACACACAGTCAGTAAAGAAGGCAGAAGGGGCATCCTCCCTGCCCAGAGAAGAGCATGAGATAGGCTGACCCCACGCTCAAATGTGCCATGTGCTCCCACACCTCATATTGTAGAATTTTTTTTTTTTTTTTAGCTGAGCTATCCTGCTACCTATTGGCAGCTTAGTGGCAGCTCAGCTCATGCCGGACATCGAACCGCTGTTGCTCAGAGCTTGCACTCTTGCGCGAGCTCTTAACCAACTGAGCCACTCGGCCGGCCCTTTCGTATTGTATAATTAATATCCTATCAAAATAGCTATGGCCATCATTTAAAAAGAGAAAAACATTTGGAGGAACATTGATTGTTGTCACATGGTACCAGGTGTGCCTTCTGTCCAAGATCCTTAGATGATCGCTCTTTACCAAACTCTTGAGAGAAATAAGGATTCTGTAGAAATATAGTTTTTGATATGAAAATATGGCCAGTGTATTTTGCTAAATGGAAAATTTTCTTAGCTAAAGGGTATGCACAACATACATACATATAAAATATTCCAAAATGTAAACATATCTCTGGGTAAAAAGCTTGCAACTTTAAAAAAAATTTAACTGAATTTTCTAATTTTTTTCTACAATGCTATGTGTTATTGTTTTGTTTTGTTTTGTTCTTTGTTGGTTTCAAGTTTAAAAACTATAGATCGTTGGGCCTGGAAAGAGGAGAGACCCTTCATCGCCAGCACCCACTGCTCCTCACACAGCCTGTGCTGCGCCTCTGCTGCCCCCGTGTGGCTGCAGGAAGACATGACATCTAGGGCCCCAAGACAAGACCCAACCTGGATCAAACTTCACCGTTATCTTGGATAGATTCCTCTTCCCCGTTCACCAATCCATGGACTGGACTTGACCCCACTCATGAACACCAGGCTTCCATGGTAGAAAGTGCCAGGACGGGTGTGGGAACTCCTATCTGCTTAGGATGCTAACTAGATGGATATAGACTCCGGCATGGGGTCAGGGGCCAGAGAACCACTTTGGCAGGAGCGAAGGTGGAGATAAGAAGGGATGAAGCCTCAGGAGATTAGTGGCCAAAGGAGAGCGTGTGAAACCAGAACCCTCGAGTGGTATTGAAAACCTCTCCTTTTTCTCAGGGGATCAAGGTGATGCCACATGGAGCTGGTGGTGTTTGCTTACTTCTGCAGTCTGTCCACAGAGCACTTGAGGCAACTGTGCTTGGCCGGCTACACGAGCGCACGTTCCCAGAAATGCAGAGGAAAATTCAGTGGGGTCACAATGTCTCATATTCCCACTGAGGGTAGTGTTCACGTACGACTAGAGCAGCCTGCTGTTTGAGCTATACGCCATGAAGATTTAGGAAATGGAGCCAAAATTAATGTTATTATCAAGTGACATGCAAACCGATTTCACCTGATCCTCTAGCATTTGCAGAATTGTTGGTAGGCATCAACGCTAAGCCTTAAAATGATTAGTCAACATTTTCCTTGCCTAAAAGTTCATTTTCCTCGGCTTGAACTGCCAGATCTAGAACAGCTAAGGGCAACAGGATCCCCTAACGAATATTTTACTTTCAAAGCACAGGTAGGCACCATGTACACACCCAAACACACACATTCTGGCTGAAGCTCCCCAAATGCCCGCCTCTTAAGCCTAGACCTTAACCCCTTTCCCTTGCATACGACCCAAGGTTAAGGCTCAATATGGTTCTCCCATATGCAGGCTCCAGTGTCAGAGTGCCTGCACTCACTGCCGCTCTGCTGTGTGACCCTGGGCAAATCACCTAACCTTTCTGAGTCTCAGTTTCCTTCGCGAAATCATGGGGCTGGTGACAGGACCACCTCATGGGGCTGTTGGGAGGTTAAGTGAGTTAATATCTGTAAAGTGCTAAAACCAGTGCCTGTCACAGGAAGTACTAGAGGAACACATTTACTCACTCTGTCCTTTAGTTATATTTCAAAACGGGTTTGAAATGTAATTAATTCACCAGTTAATTAATTCATTTTTAAAATCAGTAATTAAAAAAACCCCTTGAGCCGGCCGAGTGGCTCAGTTGGTTAAGAGCTCGCTCAAGAGTGTGAGCTCTGAGCAACAAGCAGTTCGATGCCCGGCCCAAGCTGAGCAGCTGCTGAGCTGCCAACAGGTGGCAGGATGGCTCAGCTTAAAAAAAAAAACAAAGAAAACCCTTGATTTTCTCTTTTTTTCCCCCCACTAATAAACACCATTTCTTACTACAATCGGGTGACAATGCAGTGAAGTGGCCAGTGCCTCCCTTTCTACCTCTAAAGTGTGATGTCTTTTTTCAGGAGAATCAAGATCACTGATTTTATTCTTCTCTGAGCCTCTTCCTTAACCCACTTATCATAGCCCTTGTCAGGATCAGCCTCTTCATCAATCCCATGTGTTCTAGAAAAGTAAAGAACATGCATACGCATGGGTGTGTGCACATGTGTGTGCATGTGTATGTGTGCACGTGTGTGTACCGTGTGTGTGTGTGTGTGTGTGTGTGAAAGGAACAGGTGGGTGGAGTACAGCCATCCTGAGCAGCCTGCATAACTACACTTTCAATGTGATCTCCTACACTTTCCTTCCAGCTCTGGTCCTGAATCTACCCCTCTCTCCCCACCTCCCATCAGGCGATTTGATCGGCCCCTCACTCCCGTGACACTTACCTATTGGTGTTCTCCAGGACCTCGACCTTCTTCCGAAGCTCTAAGTTCTCAGTTGAGCAAGACTCCACCCTACAGAGTGGAGAGAAAGAAGACAATTTGTTTTTCTCAGTAGAGCAAACGCTAAGCCAGGAGCTCGGGTACAGGTAGGTGGGGATCACAGAAAGCCGATGGGGAATCAGCTACTCCAGGGAGGTGAGGGAGAAAGCTTGGCCCGACCTGAGTCAGAAAGAAGAGTGAGGAAACAGAAGAAAAGCAAAAAGAAAGACCTGAGTAACAAGTGCCCCAGTAACGGGAAATGACTAGGCATGGTGCCAAATATAAATTTGGAGGTTATGCTAACCTTGTTTTCTCTCACCTCTTCCCTACCACTCGCAATGCCCACCACATTTCTCTCTATACTACAGCGGGCTGGGCGCTGCCAGCTGCACACTTGGCCAGAAGGACTAAGGAAGCCACGGGGCTTGGGGTGGGGCGATAGGGGAGAACAAGAAGCCAGGACCTCAAGACAAGGAATCCGGGCGCTGGAGCACGCACGCCCCAAAGAGGCGATACAGGGATTTTCACAGAAACATCTTGACCCTGGATGCCTAGAGAAAATGATGGCACAGAATGGAACTATTCAGCGCTAATTTCCCAATCCCTAAATCAGGAGGTGGAAACACTAACTTTCATTAGGAACTTCGAGAACCAGACACTCTTTTCCCCGATACACAGGAAAATTCATTTTTGGACCTGGGGCCTCATTCCCATCTAAAAATGATATTAGTTTGTCAGAACAGCCCTCCTTATATTCCAGGCTTTTCAGAAGAGCAAAAAGTGCCTTCGATTGTTTTTCTGTGAACAGTCACTTGTCTGTGGCATGAATTATAGTGCACAGAAAATGACGAATGCTGATATGATTTATTTCATTCCCTGTTTGCTTTCTCTAGGGTGTGAGCGGGTGTGGCTGATGAGAGCTGGTTAATCAGCACTGCTCCTTTCGGATGAAACGGGGCCCCTACCCTGAGGAGTTCCAGGGATGGGCGTGAATGTTAATTTTTGTACTTGTTTGAAAGGAAGCCTTCAAAGACTCAAGGATCTTTGGTTGGAAACAGTGTGGCACAAGTGCCTAAGATTGAGTCAACTTTTTACTTCTTGCCATACTTCTAAGCTTTCCCTCTGAAAACCACTAGGTGGCAGGCGAAACGCGGCTGATAAACCAACGGGCTTTGCTGGTAGCCAGAACCAGGGAATGAACTGCTTCTCACGAGGCTTTGCACACTCCCATTTCTCTTTGTATATTGCCCAATAACCACAACCAGTTGGGCAGGAGGCTTACTTTTTCTCCAAGCTGTCCATGTATTCTTTCTTCTTTCTCCTACTCTCCTGGGCAGAAATCTGAGATACAAGGAGAGAAAAAAGGATTACGTTCCAGTTAATATCAGTCAACCAGTTATGTGTACACGGAAGAGAGGAGGCCATGAGCATGGGAATCATGAAAGCCCTGCTCACTTTTTGGTCACTCCCCATTTGTTTACCCTGCTGGCCCGTCTACTTGTCACCTCTGCTGTCCTCCCCGGCCTATGCGCTCACCTACTTCCCAGTGGGAAGGGCAGTGGGCCGGGAGTGAAAACATAACAAGTGGGTCACAAACCATCAGTATGGTCTTAGAGAAATGATTCAACTCCGTGGACCTCAGGAGGCTCAACTCTACTCTATAAACTAAGTCAGTTGGGCGTGGTCATATATAAATTCGCTGCTGGTTCTGCACGTGGATGAAGAATTATAGCTAAACTCTTTCCTTCCTTTCTTTGCCTCCTGCCTCCAGCTCTGCCAGCGCCTTAGCCACGCCCCTTAGCCACGCCCCTGGGCCTCACCATCCCTAATCTGCACCCGCTCTGGGGGCCTACAACCAGGAGACAGCTAAACCTGGTACATAGAACAATGGTCTGCAGAATTTTTTATTTTTTTTTTTAATGAAAAGTCCCTATGAAGAAAAAAAAATTAAGTAAGCACCCATGATGTGTTTATAATTTATTTACTTATAAATTATACACTGGGCTTACTAGAGGGAAATACGGAGTGCATCACAAAACAGGAATTTAAAAGGCTGAGATTTTTTTAAAAAATAATAATTTGCATGGGATTTCTAATATTTTCGTCCCACCCATGAATGAATCATCTTGGGCACCAAGGAATGTACACACCCAAATTGGGAGGCCACTGACCCCGAGGACGGGAGGAGAGGCTGGAGGAAGGCAGGGCAAGTGGTGACAGTGCTCTGCTCCCGACTAAGGGCTGCGCCTCGGTCCCCATCATGGGACGGGCAGTGCTGGCCAATGGCAAGAGAGGGAGGGCACACAGCGTCGATTCTGCTCACCCTCTTTGCTCACAGAAGTATCTAGATTTGAAGGGTTCACCTTATTCTTAATTTTTCTCCGGATTTTCTTCAGGGCCTTCTCCTCCGATTTTGTCAAGGGCAGTTTGGTGGGGATGGGATAGCCCTCGGCAATCAGGGTCCTCTTCTCCTCTTCCGTCAGGACCAGTGGGCCTGATCCCTGCAGTTTCTGTGCAGACCAAGGAGCAGAAAAGGGTCAGAGAAGAACAGCTGGGCACAAGGAAGCCACACCTCCTGAGGGGGTGAGAAGATGCCTGTTATAATATCTTGCAAACGGCTGAGAGGAAAGGATACCCCATCTGCTTTAGTTGAGAAACGGGTATGCAGAAGTAGAAGTAAAGATGGAGAAGACACTCTTATGTGAGCGTTACAACCCAAGGATTGGAATTCAAGGGGAAGGTAAAGAAACCTCCACCCATTATTTCCCAGAAAGTACCCCACTAGCTAAAGCATCAAAGGTAAAAATACAGAATTCATCTCGCACATCCCTAGAGATTTCCTGGCCTTGTGGAGAGGAAGGATTCACGTGGTGCTCTGCTTATGGAAAAAAGAGCTTTGTTGTTCTCCTGAAAACGCAGTTTTGCAAGACGCTCTTTAGGCACTAGGTGTCACTTCTCGTCCTCCACCTACTGCTAACGGGACAGGGCTCCCAGGGCTATAGCTGCAGACACTTTTCGTGGCAGTGTCTGGCATCCATACAGTCCCAGATTGACCATCAATGAAGATGAGAGCTGTTGCTCATCTCATGTAACCCATAATAACGAATTTATAATCAGTCAAACAAACCGAGGACCGATTGCATATTTGCTCCATACTAGATGCCATGGAGGGGTTCAAACTCCATCTCTCATGTGGCTTATGATCAAGGCTGAGACTGAATTGTTGCACATGAAAGGAAGAAAGCAATTAAATGCTTACCTGTGTTATTGACTCAAGGTGCATCAAAAATTTGAAGAAAAAGAACACTTGTGTGAGTTGGTATGGTAAGGGAAGGTTTAGGATAGGAGATAAGACTTGAATTGGGCCTCCTGAAAGAAAGGAGGTGGTTTGCATGAGAGAAGAGGAAGTTTTAAGCAAAAGGCAGTATGTTGAAAAGTGAAGACATCCTCGAGTGGGTAAGGAGTTTTTAAAACTGCAGAGGATGGAGGCACCCTAATACAGAGTACAGGGCTTGACACCAACAGGTAATAAACACAACACAGTTCTTGAGAAGGGGGTGACCTTGGGCAGACTTCTTCCATGAGTGTGTAGAATGGATCAATAGTGGGAGAACACCAGATATATAGGATGACAGCTATTCTAGTAATCGAAGGGGTCAAGTTAGAGTTGAGAAGGTAAAGATCTAGTGGGAAGAGTTAATTCCTTTGTCCTTAGTAATGGGGCTATAAAAGAATGTGGCCACAGATCTAGAACTTTCTGGGACTGACTGAATTCAAGTGTTCAAAATTATGTTCATAGATGGGTTCTTACAGAGTTTTGAAATATCTCATTTCATTCACATTTTCTCTACGTGATATTATAAACTCAGTTAGTTGCTTATAATTTTTAACATTTCATAGAAATCAATGAATTCCTCAGAACAATAAGAAGTGAATTATCTCCACCTGTCTTGTGGGGTCAAAAAAAAAGAAGTGAATTATTCATCCCTATTTTTTAGTTGGAAAATGGTGCCCTTATGTACGGGAGGGATGAATGATGGATGGCTCATGACTTCTAACCTGTCACTGGGTTAAAAGTTATACCAATGACAAAAAAAGGCTAAACTATATTTTTAAGTGTTAGACATCAAAGCATTTAATTGCAAAGATTTTTAAATTCATCAAAGATTGCTTATTTAAAAATTAAGTTTTTAAACAAATAAATAAGCAAACAAACATTAAGTGATTTCCTGCTGTAGGTTATAAAAATCCCCTAAATTAGTGGTAAATATTTGTGCTATAATTTTGAGGAGAAATTCCTCGTGCTTACAGCAATGTAAATGAACTCGTGAATGAAACTGGAAGTGTGCACTGGGAAAGGAAGAGAATTGTGTTCACCTGGTGAGATCACAGGACGTGCTTTAAAATGTTAAGAGCATTATCACCCTGTTTTACACCTAAGACTTCCTTACAAAAATAAAAACCAAGTGGCCTGGAATGCCACCCACTCCGGGTGAAGCTCCAAGTGACAGAATAGAAAGGGCTCACGCCCAGAGACTCTGGTGAAGACTTACATGTGGCGCGGTGAGAAGCGGGGAGCTGGAAAGGGCGGAGGGGGCCCGCACCACGGCTCTGGCTGGGTTGTGGGTCTGAGGCAGGCCGAAGGGGTGCAGGCGCGGGTTGGGGCTCAGGCTCCCCTCCGAGTCACTGCTGTGGCTGCTGGGAGGGGTGGGCGGTAGGTGCAGGTGGTCCACGGAGGCTGAGGAAGAGAAAGCAGATTTCATCCATCAGACAGCTACGAAGGAGGGACTTGGGGGACGGCTGAACAAATGAAGGAGATAGCTCCGTGAACTGATATGGAAAGATCTCCAAGATGCACCGTTAAGAACGGGGGAGGGAAGATCAAAGCACAGAACAGCATATCAGGGAGCCTTCCTTTCCTATGAAAAAGGAGAGAAAGAGAATACAGAGTTGTATTTGTGTGTATCTGCACAAAGAAACACTGGAAAATACATAAGAAACTAAAAAAATTATGAACTAATGGCAGGGGGAAATTAGAGTAGACACGGAAAGTGTTGGCATCACTTGTCACTATTCATGGCGTGTCATTGTTATAGTTGGACTTGTAAACTATGTGAATGTTTTATGATCTTTAAAAAAAAAGAGCAAAGCTGGGGAGCCCATGAGAGTTTGAGAAAAGCTCATTTGTTTCTGGAGGAATGTGCATGGCAGGGCCCATAGGCGAGATGCCAGGCATTCTTCATTCAGAAAGTATTAAACCCATCTGGAGATAGAGCAGTAAGTAAGCGCTGGAAAATAAATAGGGAGGGGGGGCTCTCCTGCAAGTCCCCCAGCATCCCTCACCTGTCCTCAGGGAGGCACACATACTCTCTGCAGGGCCCGTGATTATCAATCAGGCATCTCCAGGGCAGCAGGGATGGGCTCCTGAAGGGAAAACCCACTCTGCGTTCAACCTGACAAGAGAGCTCGGGGGTCTCACTCCTTTTTCTAAATGGCGGGTCTTCCCGCTGTGCTGAAATGCCTGAAGAAGCAGCCGCTGTTACTAAGCCAAAGGACCTAGCCTTGGTAGGCCTTTCACCACACACCCCTCCTGGGGTGCCCAGGACAGCACAGCCCTTAGCACAGCGGCTCTGAACTGGGCACAGCTCCTGGGTGCCTCACACACACCTGGGCTTGTTCAGCCAGGGAACTGGTAGGGGCTGTGAATGGAAAAGGGGCTATGCAATACACCTGACAAGCTCAGGGGGCCACACGGCAGGCCGGACAAGCCCCGTGACCGAAAGGAACCTCACAGGGTGGTCTGACCACAAATCCCTAACCGGGCAGGTCGGAGCGGGTGGTCCCATCCCAGGCCCCCGGCTTCCTCGGCCAAGGTCAGTCTCTACCCTCAGTGAGCCCGTCCACTGTTCTCATGCATCCAGGACCACGTGCCTTGGACATGTCAGAGTCATTTCCTTTTCCTCAAAGGCACAACCTCCAGCACCAGAGCACGAGACCACAGAACCCCTCATTGTTATCTTGTTGTCCCCGTACCATCTCTACGTGCTGTAAATGGTAACTATTAGCTATCCTGTGCCCACCAATATAAAGGAAGCATGCTTCTCCTTTGGGCCTTTCATCCAACCCTCGAGATTTCCCTGCTCTGCTTCCTCACACAGCCTTCATCTACCACCCGCGGATTTCATGTAACCCTCGTTTTCTCTCCTCCTTTGATTCTCATGTATAAAATAAGCAGCAAAACTGCCCTTCTCTGGAACATAATCTCGATCTGTTGAGATTTTGCTGCCTGGCAATTGTCTTCAGTTTGACTCAAAGTCATAAAAATTCTCTACAGGTTTGAATGTTTCTTCCGTTGACAGGGCCATGGAAAGGCCACGGCCTTCTCCTCTTCTTCAGGTAGAGACTGCCCAACATTCTATGGATGGGAAGGGCCTTTCTGAAGCAAAACTACTCCCTTAAGAAAAATGGCCCCACCCAGGGCTGCCTTGGCAGGTGACAAGCAGCCACCAGGCAGCAATCCTTCCTCCTGAAATACCTGACTCTCTGAGGTAACAGGTGATGTCCCACTGGGCTGTCCCCTTTCTGACACAGCACCATCCCCCACTCACAGCACACACTTCTTCTTCTTTCTCTCTCTCTTAACTCTCTTTCTCACACTCTAACCCTCCTCTTTCGCTTTTTGTAACATGCTGCTTTTCGCTAGATGCTTCCCCTTGTATCTACCAGTCTTGCCAAAAAGAGCTTCCCGGGTTTTTTAGTGTCTACAGGCACGCTCAGAGCTAAAGAATATTCTAGAACAATCTTAGGTACTTCTATTGCCAACACCCCCTGCCAACCGCTCCAGGCATCTAAGGAGGGTAGGTACGCACCTTCAATGTGTGCTCACCTACAGAGAAGGAGTCCTGAGGGGGTTAACAAAGCTTTCCCCAATGCCATGAATACCTATGACATTTCACGGGGCTAAATAATAAATTAAACATGGAGGCCATTAGACTGAGGTGGCGCTAATGCTGTGGCAGCCCATGTAAGCAAACCAAAACCTAAGCCTGTTAATGCCTCGAGGTTATGAAACCAAAACGCTAAGGGCAGCCAATGCTTAACAAACAGCCAAGCAGGCTTTAAGCTAAAGCCAACAATGATTTCCTCACTTTGCTTTCGTCTCTTGTCTATAAGTCTCTCCCCGGACTCCCATTGGTGGAGAGCTCCCAACCAACTTCCAGTTTGGTGCTGCCCGGTTCCAATCAATGTTTACTCAAATAAACTCAAAATGTATAATATGCCTCAGTTTATCCTTCACCAATGGTAAAAAAAAAAAAAACTAGGAGCAGACTAACCCATTAGAGGCTCCTACCAGGCTGTGCTGTTACCTGGAGCAGGAGCCAAGAGTACTTCGAGCTTACCTGACCCTTTCACTTGGCACAGCCCAAATTATTCTAATACTTTTCTCCTTTCCAAACAGAGGATGCCCCACAAAAAAACAAAAAAAAAAAAAGGAAAAGGAAAAGTGAAACAAACGTGAACCTCCTCTTTTCTTCCTACCTATTAAGAGTTACTGACCCGGCCACAGGTGCTTCAGTATCAGATTTCTAAATATCATGTGAAATGCCCATCTTAGGTTACTTAAAAGGGCTGGGACAACAAGCGACTCTGCCTGGAAGCTCTGAGGCATTCAAGGATATTGAGTTTCCTGATCTCCGTTTGTCTAGGATAACGAGGAAGGACTGCTGTTTACTCTGGGGACACTTCTCCTCCCGTGACCCCGGAGCCTGAAGCCACTGTCGGATTCACAGGTACAGTTACAACACTTTCTGAAGCACATTGCAACAAAAATTTAAAAAGCGACATGGAGTTGATAGTTATGACAGGTGTCGTAAAAACGAAAGCAGTTACTTGACAGCAGTACATAAAGCTCACAGGCACGAGTGTCTATCACTCGCTGCAAAGAAATATTGTCTCAATATGGATTCTAGTCAATAGTATTGTTTTAAATTTCATCCTTTTTTTTTACTGATAATAAAGGCAAATGCCAACCCTGATTAAATGATTACGATCAAGTCCTGAGTTAGTTTCCAGTGGAATGAAGGTAATTCATGTTTCCATGAGAATGGCTCATATATACATTAAGTATGTACCACAGCACACATACCTTTACTGTGGCTAATGCATATACAAATTTCTGATTGACTGACCTCACTAATGAACTATCCTTGTATAAATGTCTTATTGGCTGACCTCACTAATGAACTATCCTTGTATAAATTTCTGATTGGCTGGCCCCACTAATGAACTATCCTTGTATAGCCTTGCAGAATGACTAAAGGCACAGAATTCAGATGAGCAGACCTGTGCAGGAGGACCTAAATAAGCAAGGTGGAGAGACCCTCACTGACCCCATGAGACTTAAGGTACTGCGCTCATAATTGAGTTCTTAAATGGATGACAAGAAGCCCACAAGATGCACAAACATGACAAATGGTTACGAGGCTCCTTGCAACGGCTGTCATCCAAAATCAACCTCTAAAAGCACTGAACCTGACTCTGGGTGGTGAACGCACCATGCAATACATAGGTGACGTATTTATAGAAATGTACACTTGAAACCTATGTAATTTTGCTAACGAAGGTCACCCCAATAAATTTAATAAATAAAGAAACCCACTGAACAGATCAGACAGATGAATGGTGAAGTCACGTTACAAAGGGTTTCAGCGAGAGCTGTTTAAACAGGTGCCTCTGGGGATGTCTGCTTATTTGCCTCTACTGATCACCACCCCAGGGCAAGGAGGTGGGCTATATTCACAGGTTCCCACCAGGGTGGTATGAGGGCGGCAGTTCTCTAGCTCGTCAGCACCTACATTGTACCAGTCTATAAAGGTTTTGAAAAATCACCCTGGCTAGGAGTAAAAGGCAGGTAAAAGATTTCACTGGAAATTAAGCCTGTACATATATGGGAAAATCAAGTTTGGCTTTCGAAATGTGTAGGTACAGAGCTGTGTCATGAAGCAAGCGACCTGTGGGACCAACTAACCCCAGCGCCTTCTCCCACAACCCCTTTCAGACGGTGCACGGACACATGGTAACCCGAAGGGACGCAGGGTGAGGGGACAGACCTTCTTTAGGAGAGAAGTTTAGAAACTGATCCACTTCGTGAGGCTCCAGCTTAATCTTAGGAATAACTGTCTGGCACGAGGAATCAACCTAAAGGAAGAATTTCAAACACAGTTTTTAAAAGCCAGTAACAACCCCGATGTAACATCCAGGGGAGCTATTTGTCACCTGTGCCTTCCTCTCGGGGCAGCCCTGTTTCTCTGGAGCCGGCTGAGGCGGCTTCTTGGACAGGGAGGCGATTTAGCTCTTCACCCCGCTCCCGTTGCCAAACCTGGCATTAGAGCGGATGGAATCCTCAACGTTCTAAAATTAAAAGCCCCAGGCTCACTTCTGAGTGCTCCTTTCTACTGTCTTACAGAATAGAAAGGCATTTGTCATCACAGACTAGTCTGGTATGCCTCTACAGAGCCACAGGCCTGCACCAGCTTGTCCTTGTAGCAGGGCCATTGCAGAGATGCTCTGCCTAATCCCTCATCTCTCCATAGACAGAATGTAAAGAGCTAAGAATGAGGGAGCAGCAAAGTGGGGGTGGCTCTACTGCTTCTGTGCTGCCTTGCCCTGAACAGGTAGATGACCATACCTTGCTCAGAGGAGATCTGACTTAAAGTATGTCGGTGGAGTCATCTGAGTTCACCGACTCAGTGTCGGTGTTTATCATCTGAGGCTTCAACTTAAGGGAAGTTAGGACTAGCTGCCAATATCTGTGACAAGATGCACAGGGATGATTCTAGTCCATCGGCAGACACTGGAAATACGCGCAGTGAGCAAAATTCTACTCGCTATCGGCATAGAATCGACCAAGGAAGAAATTCCCGATTTCTACACTTTCTGTGGATAACATAATAAGAGCTGATAGGTGGGAAGTCCCTGAAATTGGGTCAGGAAACTCAGCATAGCACTAGGAAAGTAAAATATCACACAGGAAGTAGCAGTCCCCCTAGCCACGGCACTGAAAACCATGGATTATGTGGCCATCTTAACCACTCCCTTTCCACTGGCTTAAAATCAATCCTCTGGAGAAACAATGTTTCACCATAGATCTCCATCTTTTTTTTTTTTTTGTAATAGCAATTATAGAGAAAAATGAAATCAGACTTTCTACCAATTTTTCTGGACAATGCCTTGAAAGGAAGTGATATAGTCAATGCCGACACCACCAAATCAACATATCCTTGATAGATACATACGTGTACACGTGTACACACACACACACACACACACACACACACACACACACACAGAGTTATATAGCCTTAAACATATACAGACACTAGTTCCAAAAAGATTCAATGCCTTATTAGAGAATGAGGATCTATATCTTTGGATCCAATCTGTTTATACAGGAGAAAATTGAGTATATATACCCCAGTATTCATTTCCAGAGGAGGTTCCTCCTTTTCAAAAGGGGTGGAGATGGCTGTGATGGTCAGCGTGACAGAGGGAACAAGACCTGGGGGCGGCTCATCCGTAATCGGCTCTGTCTTGATGGTCGTTGAAGCAAAGTCCGTAGACAGGTACCATTTCTCATTTTCTGCTTCCTCTGTGGGGAGAAGACAAGCACACACATGTGAACTGGTTCAGGGCATCAGGCATAAGCAAAACAAAGGGCGACTGATCGTTCTCCTTAAAAAAAAAAAAAAACCAAAAAAAACCAACCACCTCCAACAAAGAATTATTGAGACTAGACTAAAAGGAAATAAAACGAGGATGTGAAAGAGGCGATAAATGGATAAAGAAATGAATGGCAAAGTAAGAATCTGTACTTGTATTCACACTTGAGTGTGAGTTTGCCTAAAGAAACTCTGGAAGGATACAGATCAAAGACAGAAACTTGGCTTCCTGCACAGGCAGGAAGGAGACTGGGTGGATGGGGAATAGGATAGGAGGGAGGATTCCAGCGTGTCATGTTTCATACTTTTTGGTTTTCAAACAAAGTTAATGCATTATCTATTCAATAGTAAATAAATAAATACGTTTAAAAAATAAGAAAGAAAGAAGCATATGGTTGGCAACCACGGTCTCAGGAGAGAGGACAGAAGACAATGGTTAGGAGGTATCGCTAGCCTTCTCCCAATGGACAGTTGTTTTCTTTTTTTTGTTGTTGCTTTTCACTCCCTGTCTTTTGTTCTCTTCTGTTTCCCTAAGACCCCACTTATGCCTTATACCAGACGTAGACTTTCAGAACGTTACTTAGCCCTCTGGGAAACGTCAGAGTTTGTGAACACCTGCAGAAATAGACTACACACTCATCTAGAAAAAAAGGGCTGGATCTCGGTGAGTTTGGGTCTTGGCTTGCCACTGGCTTTCATGATTATCACGAGGCCTGGGGGATAGCAGGAAAGCAACAGGACAGAACACACAGAAGCATCTCTATCACTTAACGCACATTTGTGTAGGAGCCTACGCAGTATGCAGTGTGTTTCTTACCAAGTCACTTCAGAGCTAGTAGCACAGCACAGCCCTGGAAAAGAAGGGAGCGGGCAGCAAAGGAAAAGACCGGAGATTGCAAACAGGTGCAGAACTGAAGAAACAAGCCAGAGATCCCCAAAAATCAGCATTCCTTACCGAATCCCAGTTTTACTAAAATGAGGTGAAAATCAAGCAAAGATAGGCTCCCTGGCTTTATGAAGACATGTAAACACACAAACCACATGGTCCGTGAATCATTACTCTACAGGGGGCCAAAGTCGTTCACACTATGAAATGATTTTACACTCAAGAACGGGACTCAAGTTTTGTCATAAAAAGGTACATGGAAGTCATTTATTACTGCTAAGGGTGGGGAAAGGCGAGCACAGAAGGTAAGAACTAAAGTTTGCAATTATTAAAATAAGTATTTCATAAGCAGCTTCCCTCCAACACAGGGGAAAGTTAGATTCCGCTTCCCAAAGGAAAATGATCTTCCTCTAAATCCAGTCTATAATTGACTGAATCATCCCAGCCCCAATTTATGTCCTGAAGTAAAATAAAGATGGACGAGGCTTCTGTTGGTTGAAGATGATTTGCTTTCAGAGCTAGTTCTGTGGAGCGGTGGAGTGCAGTGGTGTGATGGGGGACTTTCCACCTTTCTCGGGGTGTGCGCCACATCCTGGCCAAGGGGGAGGGGAGGAAACAAAGGGCCTTTTGACGGCAGCCAGAGGAGGGATACCACACTGTACTTGACACAGACGTCTGCTGGCCAGATGGGCGCCTCAGCTCAGCTGAGAGAGGCAGCTCGAGAAGAAGCCAAAAGAAGATTCTAACGCCTCTCTCAAAAGCAGCTTAGGAGCTAGAAGACTGTCACCTGCAATGAAGACACCCTGAGGACAGATTTGGAGACGGGTTGGAGAGGCAGAGAAAGGGAGAGCAGAGATCACACTTTCTACACTCAAAAATGACATGTGGATGCCTCTGCTTTGTCAAGTCAACACTTACAGCCTGTCCACACTGAGCAATATTTAACCCTGGCAGAGGCTGGAAGAGAGATAGCACAATAACATATAGCGTCAGTATATATTACAATGAACAGTCAGGGCCGGGGGGGGGGGGCATGCCTGAGAAAAAGGTTGCACGCAATGATCAGGAAATTGTGAGGTAAGGCCAGATACCCTGGCTGTGAAGTTATGACTGTGATGAAACTTAAGTCACAAGGCAAACAAAAGGCAAAAATAAACACAAAGCAAATAAAAAGTTATAAGACAAAATGAAGACAGGTAATGAAATTGGTTCTTCCAATCTAGCTAAGTGATTCTCAAAGCACACACATTCATAAAATAAGTCAAGATAGTTTATATTCTTTGTTTGTTTTTTTAATTGGGGAACTTGGGGAGGGGAACGGTGTTGGGGAATTGGGGAGGGGGACCAGCCAAATTGTTGTTCTTCAATCTTAGTTGTGGAGGGCGCCAGTCATCATATCTGGCTTCCCGTCGGCAGCTCGTGGCCTCTAAGCTCAAGGTGCTGGGTTCAATCTTAGTTGCGGGTGGGCGTAGCCACCATCCCATGCAGGAGTTGAACCGGAAGCCTTGTTCTTAAGAGCGCACGCTCTATCCACTGAGCCATCCGGATGGCAGCTCAACTCAAGGTGCCGAATTCAGTCTTAGTTGTGGGCAGGTGTAGCCCACCATCGAACAGGCATTCTTGATGTTAGGAGCACGTGCTCTCACCAGCTGAGCCATCCTGCCACCTGTTGGCAGCTCAGTGGCAGCTCAGCTCGGGTGCAGTGTCACTGGCTCATGTGGGAATCGAACCAGAGGCCCTGTTGCTCAGAGCTCATGCTCTTAAGCCAACTCTTAACCAACTGAGCCACTCGGCCGGCCCAAAATAGTTTATATTCTTCATGCTCAGTGTCCTATAACCCTATTTTAAGACGTTGTATATGTATATGTATGTGTGTACACACACACACACACACACACATAATCATTGCTGTAGCAGAGATGGAGACTGAAGGGCAAACAATGATACTTGAACTATGAAACAAAACTATCTCAAAGACAACTGAACTCTTCCAAGTGAGAAGCCCAAAACACTGCCTGCTTCTTCTCCCCTGAACTTTTCTCAGGACGAGCAACTGGTATTGCCTTTGTACTTCTACTCCAATACAGCAGTCTAGTCATCTAGCTTGAACGATACTTTCTGAGTGACAAGTTTAAGGCCCTTAAGCTCACATATGTCATTGTAAAGATGAGGAAATTGACACGCATGCAGGACTCGATCACACAGCAAATGAGTGGCAGGGCCCCGATCTCTGAATTCCTAACCAGAATTTTTACCATTAAGAAAATAACTCAACTGTGGGTAAAGATTTGTGCACAAATATGCTCACTTCGGCTTTATTTATAATCACAAAACACTGAAAATAACCAAAATGATAAAGAGCAAAGGCAAGATTAATGAATTACGGTCCACCCACACAATGGAATGTCTATGTATCTAGTAACAGCACATGTATTAAGCCTTCTTAATAACAAGAAAAGGTCTATGATAGAATATTAAGAAAAAAAAATCTGGATCTTAATTTGCATGCTAGTAATAAAGAAACTGATAGGAAAAAAAGACTGAAAGGAAATATACCAACGGAATAAAAATATCTCTGGAGAATAATTCAGAATGCGCATGACTTTTTTTTCTTTAAATTTTATACTATTTCTAAATTGCCTGTACTGGGAATATATTGTCCCTCGGTGTCCACACATGGACATGGCCTGCTTCTTCCTGTAAGACTTTATGCCTTATGATGGTAATTATTAGAGAGAAGCCCCAGGGCTCATGGGGTCCTCTCGGCATCCTTTGACTCAACAAGAGTCATTGAGTACCTTAATATATATAATAAATTAATATATAATAAACCTTAATATATGTAATAAATTACATTACTGTCTCCATATCCTTTGCTGTGTAATTGGTAGTGCCTTCCTATGTGGGTTAACCCCGCCCTGGCACTGGCCACATGACTCGCTTTGGCCAATGGGATGTTAGCTTTCTAACACAAGCAGATTCTTGAAATGAGCTTGCATGGCTGGACTTACACACTTGTACATTTGCCATCACATGAGAAGGATGTCTTGGGACAATCTACTGATCCCAAGAGAAGGATGTCAGACCTAAAACACAGTTAACCCCAAATGAGCCTGGCTAAGATTAGCCAACTCTCAGCCGACATTACACACGTGAGTGAATCTAGCTAAAATCCAACAAAATCACTCAGCTGCCCACCCCCAACCAAAATCAGCCAACCTCCAGTCAAGGCACAGACACGGGAGCTATAATAATAAATGATTGTTGTTAAAGCTCATGAGTTTTGTTTTTTTTATTATGCAGTAACATAGATGGCTGATACAATATAGCTGAATGTATATACAAGTCTAATGATTATGCTGTTTTGTACACCTGAAACCAATAATAAAATAAAACCTTATAAAAGAAATTAAATCATTACATGAGAACCTACTGCAACAAAATAGCTATACTTTGTTTCCATAATAATTCCTCTAACCCATCAACAGTGAACCATGTCAATACATGTTGGAGGGCTGGCTGATGAGACCTACCAGTTACCTCATAAAATAAATAACTTGAGAGAAGAAAAGCAGCCAGTAAGAAGCTTGGTGAGAACAACAGTCCAGTGGCTGTTGAAATTAGAGAAAAGAGTTTTCATTCTGAACTACTGGGTGTTGGTTTGTACACTGTCCCTGAGTGGAAATAAATATCAAATCAGGGAAAACAAAATGGCAAATGTAACCTATGAGGTAAGGGGTTAATAAAGGATAGAATGAAATGGAATGAGTAGAATATGTATTACAATTTTTCCACATGACCTTATTTTCATATTTTTATTTTACTGGCAAAAAGATCAGGAGGGGGCCGGATGAGTGGCTCAGTTGGTTCAGAGCTTGCTCAAGAGTGCGAGCTCTGAGCAACAGCGGTTCGATGCCCGGCCCGAGCTGAGCTGCCGCTGAGCTCCAACAGGTGGCAGGATGGCTCAGTTAAAAAAAAAAATCAGGAGGGCCAGCATGGCTTAGAACTGGAATTATCCGTAGATGCTTGAATTATTGGCTAAAC